AGTTCAGAATCGCGGTGAGGTGGCCAAGACTTGTTTTGTTGGTCGGAAAACGTACGCTCCATGATGCCCCACGCTGTCGAGTTTGGTCAGCCCACACGTAGCTCAATGGGGGGGAAGGGGCAGGGGATCAGTCGAGGGGGCCGAGAGGTTTGCGCACCTGGGTTACGGGCCTGGCAATCGGCGCAAGAGTTGTTACCGGGCACCTTGGCCACAAGTTCCTGCAGCGCCTTTTCGTTGCGCGCCTGTTGGCGCTTGCTCAGGACGGAGGCCATGTTTCGCGCAGTGGTAGACGGCCCGTTCGTAATGGCGGGGGGAGGGGAGGGGGAGGAGACGAGTACGTTAGGGGTAGGCGGAAAGAAGAAAGGCGGGCGCCCAGAGCCTGCGAGACAGGATGGTGGTGGCGGGGAGAGGGTCGAGTCGAGCGCGGTGCGTAGGTGTTGCGAGGTAGTTGCTCGTTGCTCGTTGTTGTTGTGGTGTTCGCTGTTGGGCGATGAAAGGAAGGCCTGGGCTGGGTCAGGGAGCACACCTATGGAGCTCCTCCTGAACCAGGCTGAGCTTCTGAGTCGATGGAGTGTCGGCACGCGGCCACTGCACCCAAATCGGAGCGAGTGGTGGGTTATGGCCAGAGTGCTTGGGGGTGCCCCGTTGTAAAGGATGCCAGGGACAGGGTATGGGAATTAAATGGGCCGCCCGCGAATGACGCGAAGTGAACAAGACGAGACCCCTGGCTCGCCGTCTTCCTTTGTTCGTAAGCTGAGTGCTGTCGTCCGTAGGTAGGGTACCAGAGGAAGAGGTAGAAGCTACAGCACGCTGTGGAAAAGATATGCAAGGACGAATGCCGATGTGAGTGAATAAGGTGGCGGAGGGGGAGAAAAAAAAAAAAGAGAACGCGGGGTTAATCTTCCGATGGAACTGCAGAGCAGCACAGAGTCGTGGTCCTGGCCAAACTGCTGCATGGAACTCTTTTCCTTTTTGGCATGTTCCAGACGAAACTCGGACGGGCCCAGGAAGAGAATGAGAAGCATTCTCTGCCTCTGGGGTAGCAGCGATGCTAGCGACCTGCCTAGTACATGGTAGGCCATGCTTTCCACCCGCACCTACTAAAACGACCTAGCTGTGACGGACGCATGGCTTTTATTGGCGGGGCGAGACTGAGACTGACCGCGCTGCCACTGCCACTGATGGGATGGTTCGTAGAGACAGTGAAGCGAATGCTCCCCACAACGCGAAGCAGCCCAGAACAGGAAGAGGACCAAGACCACCACCGCCCAGCCGCCCCCTTCTCAGCAGGAATACTTCAGGCGCAGGAAACCAAACGCCCTCGTGGGTTGCCGTCAAGGGATTCCCCTCAAGGGAAGGATGGGATGGCCTTCCCATCCCACCGAACCTGGGCCCGTGTCCTGAAAACAGTCTTGGCGGCCAGAAACAAAATCGACGGTGCGAGCTCCAGCGTCCCATCCGCGACTCATGAAGGGGCCGAGTCCAGAAGAACAGAGAGGAAAGAAAGGAATAGCACGAAAAAGGAGGAGATTGGGTATGGGTGTGGCTCAGATGGGAAATGGCCAGCCACACATGTACCAGTGCCTCTCGGGAGAGAGAAAGAGAGAGAGCATACACCCACCACGGCAGCAAAGAAGAACCCCCATCAGGCTCATCCGTGGCCCTCCCCCTTTCCCCAATACGTAGGCCCTTAATGAATAGGTAAGCCATCTGTCTACCTGGTCCCTTGGTCAACACCCAAGGACCACAGGCCAAGCCTCGACGCTGTGTCCCGATCAGGGCCAGTGCCAACGTAGCACTAGCGAATCTCTAAAGGCCCTGCTAGCCCTGCAAAGAAGACTCGCATTCGATGATGGACCATCGGGGTGGGGGCCGCAGCGGGCTCACTTCGCGAGTACCCCGAGACGAGGCCCTACGAAAACGACAAGAAGCGCCAACGTGCAGCAAGGTGGATATGGAGAGAATGGGGCAAAGTGTGACGAGGATACGACTGAACACGAAGACCCGAAGCGCCACACAGGTCGAGCCGGCCAGCTGGTGTGAATAGGAACCTCAATTCTCTTGGGCATGCTATCGTCCGCCTGTTCGTCCTGGCGTGGCGCAGCAACGTCACCGTGTTCTCCCCCCTTAGCCTTCCCAAGCGGCCCATTGATCGGTCGACTGAAGACGGGCATGCTGCAACACGGCGGGATGCGGCACGGGAGGGTCACGCGGCGATGCTGTGAGCTTGGTGCGAGCCATGCTTGCGTGCACAGTATCTCGTGTGCCGGGCCTCAAATGAAACGAGAGTCTGGTGGGAATCGTCCGAGCCCCCGTTGTTGGAGAGCCTAGCCCAGCATCTCGGCATCTAGTTGAGGAAGGCCACAACTCCACTGGAACGGGTAGGATGAGCATTGGTCTGTAAGGGTAAGACTCGCCAACCTGGGGACTTGGGGCCAGGACAGAGAGAGGACCGGCAGAGGTCTGCGTTCATCATCGGATTCTGATGATAACGTCGCCGACTGCCCACCGCGTATGATCCCGAAGGCCACGCACTAAATAGCGGAAGCCGCGCGGTACGTGCCTCGTGCCTTGTGCCTCGTTATCGGGCGCCGCTGGACCCGCGGCAGGACGGTTCTTCGAGGTACCTAGGTACCGACGGAGGTACCTTGTGTTGGCTCGCTGGGGCGTGGGCTGTGTGGCGCCATGCTGTGAAAGGTGCACTTGCAGGCGGCCTGGGTACCACCTCACGCCGGTGTCAGTGTGGCTGCAGGTGATGAAGACCTCAAAAGTGCCATAGAGTGCCCCTGTAGCAGTGACGTGTCTCCGTTCCTAGCGCATGCCCTACCCACCTACCTACGTAGGTACCTACGATGTAGACCTACCAGGCAAGGCACGTACCTCAAGGTGTACTGGGGAGCCCAGCTCCGCGCCCAAGCTCACCTCAGCACCTCTCGGCATCTCACCTCCACGTCAAGTCATAATTAAAGCCTCCCTTCCCATACCTCCTGCGCACCAGCCTCACTCAGTTTAGACTTCCTGAGCCCGACGTCTGACCTTGTTTCGTCGCGTTTCCCTGCACCCCGCCTCTAACGAATCTGTCGCAGATCCCTCGCCATGGAAAGCTGCTAGTGTTGGAAACCGGGCGACATATCAAATAGAAACAACACGTCCTCCACCTTTGCCTCGAGCCTCGCCTCTACAACCATCTTGCATCTCGCCTCAGACCTTCGACGCGCACCTGAAATGGCCGGCCACGAGCAACTTGAGGTCCACAGCAAGGTTTGCCAGCCCACTAGCCATTCCGCCATGTCGCCGTCGCGCGCAAGACCCAAAGCTGACAGCAGACATAGTCGTACATTGTACGCTGGCTCAAGGTTGAGGACGGCCAGAGCATCGCGTGGACCGTTCAACCGCATAAGAAGTCAATGTACCTTTTCTTCCCCCCCTCCCCCTTCTGCTTTCATACTGTAGCTGACAAGCTTCCCCTGCCGCACAGCAACTTCGGCATCGTCAAACATCCCGGCACCGGCGCCACGAACATTGTCCCAAGCCAGTCGGACGACCCCGCAACCCCCTCGGGCGTGACTTCGGGCGTCAACGACGCAAAACCAGCCCGTTTCGCCAAGAAAGATACGATCACCGCCCAAGACCAGCTCGCCAGCAAGGGGTTCATCCCCATCGAGTGGCAGGGGCGATGCGAGGCCGAAACCCAAACGACGGGCACGCATGATGTTCTGAAGGGCCAGGCCGGCATGTACGGCCTGGTGTTTGACAATACCTTTTCAAAGCAGACCTCCAAGACCGTCACCCTCTCCCTCCGCACATACCCCATCGGCTCGCCGCCCCCGACGGCGCACAATGTCCCGAATCTTTCCCTCGGCAACCCCGCAAAGAGTGGCAGCAAGACAAGCTTGGGCAAGCACGGCAGTCCTCACATGAACGCTGTGGCCTCAGACTCCCAGGACAGTCTTCATAGCCATGTGCTGGGTGGTAGGCCTACGTCAGTGTCGGGCCGAAGTGACGGCGCGGCCAACTATCACGTTGGGAACTTGCTCAAGAGGAGGAGAAAGAAAGGACAGGGCTACGCACGTCGCTTTTTCTCGCTCGACTACTCGTCGTGTACGCTATCGTACTTTTACAACCGCAACTCCTCGGCACTGCGGGGCGCCATCCCGTTGAGCCTCGCAGCCATAGCTGCAGACGAGAGGCGCCGGGAGATCAACATTGATTCGGGCGCTGAGATCTGGCATCTCAAAGCCTCCAATGTCAAAGAGTTTGGCGAGTGGGCACGCGCCCTTGAAAAAGCAGTTCGCATCGCTCGAGGTTTTGAACCGGTAGAGGGACAAACATCAAAGGAGAGGGGCACCACCACGCCTCTGCGCATTGCCACTGGACTCTCGAGGACAGCGACTCACAACCCCCTCGAGGATCGGGAGTGGGAGCAGGTCGAGTCCTTGGTCAGCCGGACTGTGGGCACCAGAGATGCGCTGCGCCGCCTTGTCAAGGACATGTCTAATACGCCACGACCCGCTCACAGCAGCGGCAGCCAGTATTTATCACCCGGCGGTAGCTCAGTGCAAAGTGAGGAAAGGGAGGGCTATTTCCCCTCTGAAAACCAGAAGAGGCCCTTCTGGAAGCGCAAGTCCAGCATCGTCAGCCCACAATCTTTCCAACCCATGATATCGTCATCCTTGGCGGTTCCGTCGCCGGGTTCTGCGAACCCCCGCCAGTCAACAAACGGATCTAATCATGCGAGGAAGAAATCGAGGGGTGTTGCGCAGGAGGAGAAGAGCATGCAAGATCACTGCGGTGCATTGCTGAACGATTTGGACTCAGTTGTGGCTGAATTTACGTTATTGATCGCAAACAGCAAACGCCGGCGTTTGCCGGCGCCCCTCTCAGCTGCAGCCTCAAGGCTGAGCATGGACACTACCTCAACCGATGAGTTCTTTGATGCTGAAGTGGGCGAGACTGGCTCTCAGATTGTCCGCATCGACAGGAGTGAGGAAGACGATGCTGTGGAATCTGATGCCGACGAGGCCGAGCTGCACGACTCGTCCTCAGCAGCCTCGACCATCGCTGACGAGGACACGGGCGGCTTAGATGAGGAGAGTTGCTATCCTTCCAAACCGAAAAGCCTCACCCCTCTTCCGGTAGACATATCGGTCGAGAGGCGCTCGAAGATCCCGCCAGGCCTGATTCAGCCCCCGAGCCTCATAGGCATCGTACGGAAGAACGTCGGCAAAGATCTTAGCAACATTAGTGCACCCGTCTCGGCAAACGAGCCGACCTCGATGCTTCAGAGGATTGCTGAGCAACTCGAGTACTCGCAGCTTCTTGACGCGGCAGTGCAGCAGAAAACGGCCAAGGACCGCTTGCTGTATGTGACCGCGTTTGCAGTATCGCAAATCAGCATCAACCGATCGAAGGAGCGTGCTATCCGAAAGCCGTTCAACCCTCTACTAGGCGAGACGTACGAGCTTCTACGCACCGAGCAAGAGGTGCCGGGCGGTTTCCGTCTCATTGCGGAGAAGGTCAGTCACCGGCCCGTCAGGTTGGCGATGCAAGCCGATTCCTCCAACTGGTCTTTTAGCCAGTCACCAGCGCCTTCACAAAAGTTTTGGGGCAAGAGCGCAGAAATCATCACGGAGGGTCGCGTGCGAATTCGTTGCGGTTGATGGATGGCACGGACGAACTTTATTCGTGGACGCACGCAGCCATGTTCCTACGTAATGTTGTCATGGGCGAAAAGTATGTCGAGCCCGTGGGCACGATGCATGTCAACAACGACACTACGGGGGCCAAGGCAGTAGTCGAGTTTCGCAGCAAGGGCGGCATGTTCGGCGGCCGCGGTGAGGACGTAGTTGTGGAGACTTATACCTCGGACGGCAGCAACTCGGGAACTGGGTTGATTGGTACTTGGACAACCGGACTCCGTCGAACAGAAAACGGCAAGGCTGTGGGAGACGATGTTTGGAAGGTTGGCAAGTTGGTGGACAATGCCGCCACAACGTATGGTCTGACCCAGTTTGCCGCGCAACTCAATGAGATAACGGAAATCGAGAAGGGTCGACTGCCGCCGACGGACAGTCGTCTACGGCCCGATCAGAGGCAGGCAGAGCTGGGCGACCTCGACGCGGCGGAGGAGACCAAAGTGGTGCTGGAAGAGGAGCAACGTGCGCGGCGCAAGGACCTCGAGGAACGGGGCGAAGAACACAAGCCGAAGTGGTTCGTCAAGCTGGGCAATGGACCAGAGGGCGAGGAGGTCTGGAAGATCAAAACGGGCAAGGATTCATACTGGGAGGAACGCACACGAGGTACGTGGAACGGAGTGACAAACATCTTCGCGGTGTATCGATAGGCCCCACCAACCTAATTGTCGTTGGCGCCTTGCGTCTTGGGGTCGTTCGTGAAATGACTGAAGCGAAGGGCCTGCCAAGTGATCTGATCGGGGCAGCGAAGGGGGGCGTTCGATAGACGAGCAGCTGATAGACGATCCAACACGAACATTGGATCTTCGCCGGGGTGGGTTCGAGACATGTTGCAATGCTTGATCGTGATGAGATGATCGCCACGGCGGATTCCCATGTCACGAGCAACGGCGGCTGGCAAGCAATAGCCGCGTGTGGGAATATCGCGCCAGGTAAGGATTGAGATCCGGGATCCGGGAGATGCAAGACATCGACGGCCGTCGCCCCGGAAGGCAGGCGATCCGTGGACAGAAGCGACCTTGTTGGCGAGGGATTCCAGGAACTGCAGCGTGTCCTCCACGTTGCTTGCTACTGTTGGCCCATAGCTCGAAGAGGCCTGCCAGGGCGGGCAAGACACACGGGAGACTGGTCCAAGGGTGAGATGGGGCAGCACGCCTGTGCGGGACAACATGCCAGTGGAGATGTGCCCCCCCCCCAATTGGGATGCGACGCTGTAGCGAGGACTTTGAGAGGTTCTCCCGTCTCGTGCGTTTTTGGTGGTCTCATCCGCATCCAGCGGGGCCATGGGGTGTCACACTGGCGCCGTAGCAGGGCCGATGCTCACCGATGTCTTGCCATGCCCAATGCGTCCGATGTGTCGGGTTCGACGCTGGTGTACGGGAGGCTTGCTTCTTCGGCCGGCGGCGGGCGCTGAGGGCACATCATTTCGGTCAGGATGCGCGTGTGCGGATGCGGAACTGGAGATCGTCATGGTCTTGGTGGATGAGGTGAGGGGGCCAGTGTCTGCTGTGTGGGCGATTCGCTTTCATGACGAGCGAGAAAATGAGCAGTTGCGAGTCAGGCAACGAATGCCAGGCAACAGCAGAGGCGCGCCTGCCGACTGCACCAAGTAAGGTCGGTAGGTAGCTACCTAATTAGGTACCTTATGTGGAGCCTTGACTGCCCGAGCGGTTGGGAAAAGAAGCAGAGAGCTACGGTACATGGTTCGCGCCTTCTCATTGACGGCGAGGCATCTCATGGCAGGGCGGTACCTTGGAACGGGCGCAGCGCGGAAGCTGCGGACTGGCGAGCGGTCCACGGCAAGCAGTACCGGCGTTCAGGCAAAGGGTCCGTTGCACAGCATACAGCTCCCCAACAGCCAGTCAACCGGCAGCATTTTGTCGACCTGCAGGAGACGACACTGGGCCCTGAGGTGAGGCAGAGGCAGGTGGTACCTGTCGAGGGTACCTCCCTGTCTGACGGCAACACTCTGTCCTGCGTTGCCTTGCTGTGCGTGCTCTGCACACACTGGCGTGGGTGGTCTGTGTAGGCGAAGCCAACCAAGCTGCCGGTACCAAGCCCGACGAACTTGGTTGGGGCTTTTCCACCGGGCAGCCAACGGGACTTTCCAGCCGACCTCCAGTGTCTCACTGGGGGCCACAAACAATAGTCCATCTGCACCCCTTTCTGGGCATCCCCACGTCATTCTGCCTCGTGGGCAGATCTTGTCGATATCCTCATTTAACGATCTCCAATGTCTAGGTCAAATTTTCAGCGCTGTTCATGGTGTTCAAGGGGAGAACCGGGGGTGGAAGGGCGGGACAAGGAAAAGTCCGTGCGAAACGTAGCCTTCAGGGACTCGCACTAGGAAGCCCACCCCTTCACCCTAGCGCGTACCTCGGGAACAGTGGCAGTTCCAGGTCAGGCTACGATCTGGCGAACAGGCCTAGGGCAGAACACCACCTTGCCTAGAAGCATCCACAGATGTATGCTAGTGCTACGGAGTATTCCATGTACCCTGGTGCCTTCCACTCACACTCCTAAATGCGACCTGCTGATGTTGAAGGGTACTTGCGAGGACTCCGATCAACATGACCGTCGAGGTCACCTACCGGCGCCAGGAAGCAAACATGCCCTTCCGTTTCCCCCGTGCTGACAGCCCTGGGTGTGCATGGCCAAAAGGGCAAGGTACCGTGAGGTACTCTGGTGGATGGAGCCCGTCTGGCTGTCAAATGCCAAATGCCAAATGACAAAGTGGCACAAGCCCCCCCAAAAAGATCTGAAATCCGATGGGAAATGCCACTGGAACGAACCCCTCTTTCCGCCTCTAGCATGGCCTCTAGCATGGCCTCTAGTATGGATCCTTCCATAACCAGCAAATCCGTCCGTCCCGTCTCAACTGACTTGGGTGCCTCTCCCCACCTCTTTCACTGCAAGGTAGAGAGGTAGCAACAGGCCATCTGCCTCGCCGAGCTTGCCCATCCGTGGAGCTTCATCTCTTTCCGAAGTGTGGCACAGAGACAAGAGGCCACGAAGGGAGTCAATCACCGACCCAGATGGAAGGCACAGGGAGACGAACCCCCCCCCCCCCGCCCCCCGAGAGGCCGGTAGCCAGAGACGTGGCGCCAGTCGCAGCAGCTGTGCGTTCAGGGTTGCATGTCATCCTCACGAATGAGGGCACCTTTCCAGATTACCGGGTACCATTGACCCCTCCTCGCACCTTTGGGCGCGCACCTTGCGCACCATGCTCTCCTTCTCATGGATCTGGGTCCCCCATCCCAACAAAGCCCCCCCTCCCTCACTGCCTGTCGACCCATCCCATTGACCCTGTGGCTCTCCCGACCTCGCGGGTCGAGAGTCCTGGCCGACCCAGTTCGCTGGATCCAATGCCCTTGGCACCCACCCACCCTCCCGCTCTGTTCTCCATGTTCCCTCCTCTCCACTTCGTCCACCTCTCTCTCTCTCATTCTCCTCTTTACGGCGGCCGGTCCTCCATCTTCTGAAATCCTTTTTTGTCCCTTCAGCTCCCTTTCCCGGCATTCTTCGACTTGTCGGAGGGGTTCAGGGGGCCGCCCCGTACCGCCCTGTCGCTGGATTAAGAAACCCGAACCGAACCGACCAGGCCATCTCGACGGGCCCGTTCAAGGAACGCCTCTGCTTGACTTTACCTTTGTTCACGGGGAATAGCCCACCACACTACGTTTCCGGATGAATCGAGTCGAGAACAGCTCTTTACCTGACCCGGTCAAACCATAAAGTCAATCCGCCAACGCATCTTGTTGCTCTGCTTCAATTTGTTTCCTCCCCGTGCCCCTGCCTCGGACAACACCCATCACGACCACTCTACAGCCCCCCAAAATCCTCCTTCCCCCGGCAGTCGCCAACTTGGATCGACCAGTCCCTCCGCCAGCCTCGTTCACTCACCCCGTCGCCATGGCCATCGACCCGCCCCATCAGCCGCCGCCGCCACCGCGTCCCTTGGATCCATACGCATTCACATTTGAGTCCATTCCTGACAGGAGGTCCGTGAGCAACAATTCACACCTCGAACCTGATTCTGATGTGCGTTCACTCATTTCCAACTCATTCTGCTGGGTATATGCCATCGACTCGGAAAGGAAAACTGACATTGAACCTACAGCCCGGCTATGATGACGAGTATGCACTATGACCCCTATTCTCCGGCCGGCTTTCTGCACCGGGCACCCCTGTCGAGGTTATGGCACTTGCTGACGCCGAACAGAGGATCAGAATCCATCACCGACAGCATCGCCAACTTTCCTCAGCGATTTGGACGCACTTACCATGCTTACCAAGCTGGATGTACGTGGTGATTCTGGTGTCAGCCCCCTCTTCCGGCGTGATTCACTCATCTGACCTTCCACAGCCTACGTTTTCCCCAACGACGACGTGGAATGTGAGCGCCTGGAATTGCAAGGTCTTGTCATGACCGAGTTATTCGGCGGCAAGTGGTTCCTCGCTCCTTTCCCGGCCGAACGGCCACCAACCCGCATCCTTGACGTTGGTACCGGCACCGGCATCTGGGCCCTGGAGATGGGCGACAGGTTTCCCGAGGCCCGCGTCTACGGCATCGATTTGTCACCCATTCAACCTACTGCAGTGCCATCGAATGTGCACTTTTTCGTGCAAGATGCGTGAGTTGACACGGCGTGAGCCCCAGATGCTGCTGCGCTAACGTGCTGCGTTCAACAGGTCTGAGCGGTGGGATTGGAGGGAGCCTCTCGACTTCGTCTTTGTGCGCGGCGGTATCGGGTCCTTTGCGAACTTCAAGGAAGAGATCGTCCGCCAGGCATTGACAATCTGGAGCCAGGCGGCTGGTTCGAGACGAAAAAAAATCAACTGCGACAGCCAGTCAGATGACGGGACCCTGCTGCCCGACAGCGCTCTCCAGCGATGGTTTGACGATATGAACGCGGCCAGCGAGATGATACAGCGGCCTCTATCCCAGGCTCACCTGGCAAAGAACTGGCTTGCCGAAGTCGGGTTCGTCGACATTCATGAGAAGTGCTACAAGATCCCCCTCAACGGCTGGGCTAAAGACCCCCGCTACAAGGCGCTCGGCAAGCTCTGGGAACAGAATTGGATGAGCGGGCTCAGCGGATGGAGCATGTCGCTCTTCACGCAAGTGCTCGGGCGAACGCCGGAGGAGGTCGAGGTAAGGACTCATGCTGCCCAGGTGCACCAATGTCCCCACGTGTGATTCGTCGGCTGACGGTACTGCCAGGTCTCCTTGGTCGATGTGCGAAAAGATTTCAGCAACCCTTACATTCATGCCTACCAAAGGATCTACGTTGTCTACGGCCGGAAGCCATTTCCGCACGAGGTGGCAGGGTATACCGGCGACCACGAAATGACCTGCTGAGTGGATTGTTGAGCAGGGATGCATGACAAGTCGCGGGGAAGGAAGGATCGGCCACATTGCTTTACGGGTCCTTTTGGTTAAGGAAGGCGTTGCGAGATTTCATGGCACTGGGTAGCCAAGGTGCATTGCGACGGTCTGGCATGAATGATTCATCATGTTTTTATGAACGAAAGACGGGGCACGATTGGACGGTCGGACTTGTGCTTCGGCGGACTGTAGTCAAAAGCAGTCGATAGATGTCTTTTACGTATTGGGGCATACCACGTGTTGTTGAATATGACCTGGCAAATGGAAAGTCAAGAAAAACGTCAAGTGAAGAAAAAAATAAAAAAGAAGGGGGGGGGGTGCATGTGCACGGTAAGGTGACGGAAGCAATTGATTTCTCGCGGGACAGACACTTGGTTCTTTTTCCTGGCTGATGCGGCACATCCCGACCTGACGGTACGGTACGGCACGGCAAGTGACCAACGGCAGACAGGGAAGGGAAAAGGGCCTGCCCAATCGATCAAGAAAAAAACAATCGACCTCTCTGGGGTGCTTGACGCCAGGGCTTGGGGGCCGCCCGGGCGAACCAACCGCTCGGGATGAACTGCGACTCGCTGTGCCAACAGCGCTCTCGCTCTCGGATGGTGTGTGAAGAATGAGTCGCAGCAGGGTGGCTGCTGTGTGTGGCTGGTGTCGTCAGACCGCGGCTGCCATGGTGTGATTATGTCATCCTGACGTTTTCTCCTGCCCACGGTCCACGGCTGGCTGGCTGACTGCCTGGAAGCCATCACAGCATCTGCGCCCGTCTGTCTTTACTCACAGCTGTCGACGATTGTCGAGGGACATCAGCTCGGGCTCACGACTCTGCTGTGCCTTCTCTCTCTCTCAAGCCACTTGGCTCTTTGATTTTGGCTGCCTTAATTAGGCCCTTCACGTGAGGTCCTCGAGACCGCCAACCATGAGCGCCTACCGCGCATTCCGGCCCCTTGCGCCCATCCTTCGAACCCCCGGCCCCGTGCCTCGATGCCTCCCCCGACCGCGATACCCCCCGACCCAAGCGACCGCGGCGGCCGCACGAAGGCTCTTCTCTCACGGGCTCCGCCGGCCCTGGCTTCACAACGACGCACACGACCGCCTGCGCAGCGCCCGTCCCATCTTCACGGCCGACAATGTGCGGCGCACCGTCCGCAGCCCGCGCACGCACACGGTCGTCGTCGTCGCCGTGCTCGCGGCGGCGGGCTTTTACTTTTCGAACCTGCAGACGGTGCCTGTGTCGGGGCCGGCGGCGCTTCAACTGCTTCGCCGACGAGACGGTCGCCGAGCTGAGCGCGCAGCAGGTCAGGCAGATTGAGCTCGAGGTCGAGCGCCAGGGCGGCCGCTTCCTGCCCGAGTGGGATCCCAGGACGAGGCTCGTCAAGCGCGTCATGGCGAGGCTCATCCCCGTGTCCGGCGGCGGGGTGCTGCCGCGGGACGAGCACGACGGCGCCGGGCCGCAGCACGACACGTGGTGGGGCGGCGGCCAGGAGGGCGACGGGGACAAGAGCGGCGGCGGCGGCGGCAGCAGCAAGGTGGACTGGGAGATCCGGGTCATCGACGACCCCAACACGATGAACGCCTTCGTGCTGCCGGGCGGTAAGGTGTTTGTGCACAGCGGGATCCTGCGGGCGACGCGGACCGAGGCTGGGCTGGCGGCGGTGCTGGGCCACGAGATTGCGCACAACATGGCGTCGCACGTCGGCGAGCGCATGAGCGGGTCGATCGGCATCAACATTCTGCTCTACAGCTTCTACGCGGCTGTCGTACGCCATCCCTGGCGGCATCATCCTCATCCACTCGCTCGGCGGCGGGCTGCTCGACATGATGTTTCTCCATGCCCATGAGCCGCATGCAGGAGAGCGAGGCCGACTACATCGGGCTCATGCTCATGGCGGAGGCGTGCTACGACCCGCGTGAGGCGTCGGCTTTTGGCAGCGCATGGAAGCCGCCGCGCGAAGTCAGGGCGAGGAGGTGCCGGAGCTCATGAGCACGCACCCGTCGGTGAGTTGAACCGTCCCCCCCTTTCCCTCCCCGTGGGTGCTCGATTGTGTTGAATTGTGTTGTTTTTTGTGGGATGACCGCTAACGTCCTGGTTCCCCTTCTTTTCTCGCGTGTCGCAGAACCAACATCGTATTGAGAAGATTCAGAGCTGGCTGCCCCAGGCTCTGGAGAAGTTCCAAACCAGCGACTGTCAGGGCACGTCGGCGTTTGCGGATGCTTTTCGACGGGCACTCGAGCGCGGCACGCAATTCCAGACCATCTACATGTGAAGGACGGCTTGAGCAGGATGGCGTAGAAAGGGTTAGCAAGGCGCTGAATGGATGGGATACACGGCGTTCTAGATATCCAAACTCAATTCCACCCCAACACTATAATGCGATGCATTGAGCCCAGCACCCTGATCGACAAATGTGACCTTCTGCCCTGGCCTTACGCTTTGGCCAGATGCCCTGGCTTGCCTGGCCAGATGCGTCCCGGCTGGCCCGCATGATTAATGGCGACCATGTGATTGGCACCCCCAGGCCGCCGACCTTCCCCCCAGATGACGCATCCACAGGGGGGGCCCACCCAACTGTCCTCCGCCCAGAGATGAGCCGAGGTAACTGGAAGCACGCCGTGTTCGAATGCTGATCGACCTCATCAACACAAGCATAGCCGCGGACCAACCTAACGACATTCTCTGTCGCCTCACTCCATTCTTCACCGCAACCAACACACACACACACACACACATCCATCAGTCCTCCATCAAAAGAACGACCTCACCCTCTAGAACACCTCAGTCTCATCCCGTCCCACCCGCACCCCACCGTCACCATGTCCAAGTCATTCACCACCGCCGAGGTCGCCAACCACAAGACCGAGAAGGACATGTGGCTCATCGTCGAGGACGGCGTCTACGACATCACCGGTACGGTCCCCCTCCCTTCTGCTTACCTCGCGGTCCTCCCCTGATGCCCTCCTGCCGACCGAATGACGTCCCGCCAGGTCATCAGAGAGCCAGGCTAACCCGGCCGCAGCCTTCCAGGAGGAACACCCGGGCGGCGCGAAGATCCTCAAGCGTTTCGCCGGGAAGAACGCCACCAAGGCCTTCTGGAAGTACCACAACGAGCACGTCCTCGAAAAGTACGGCGGCAAGCTCAAGATTGGCACCGTCAAGGAGGCTGCCAAGCTATGATTCTTCTCTCCATCTCTCTTTCTCTCTCTCTCTCTTGTATTTTCGAACTCGGCCGTTGGGAGCGCATTGGTAAGCTAGTGGCAGGGCGAAGCTGGCATTGATTCGGATAGGGGCTGGGATGGATAGGCTACATGCAGCTACGGCTGTGATTTTGAGACGATATTGAACTTTTTTACATGCCGACGACAATCTTCTCGCCCATCTTGGTCTTTGTGTCTCGCAACCCATGCCCTTGCCCGCGCAGACGGCGTTTGATGAGAAAGGCACAGTTGATGCAGCGCGACACGTCGAAAGGGGACCAACACCTCACACGGCAACACACGCCACAAGACCCATCAAAAACAAGCTTCATTCAGCTTCTTCATTACCCTAACCCTCCTGCGTAGCGCGAGAGGAGCCCTCGTAAACCCCCTTCCTCGCCCTCAGCGGCGCGCCATCCAACATCAACTTTGCCATCCAAACTCGAGGGGTATATGGTGAAGGAACAGTCATGGTCGTACAAAAACAAAGCAAAGGGAGGATTGGCAAGAATGGCCTGGGAGTATATATATACGTCGAGGGGTGAGAGAGGGAAGAGGGTTGGTGGCCTGGATGTGAACCCACCCGTCCTTCCATGCAGCGCAATGCAAATCACTTTCGTTCCGTCACTTCGTAACCGTTCATCCTCATAAAAATCAAGGGGCGAGGCAGGCGCTGGTGCCGGTCCTCCTCGCTCAGTAGTCTCCGGCACCGTCGTTGTAGCTGCCCCCGGCTGGACTCGTCGTCCCGCTGTCGTTGGCGCTCCCGTTGCTCGACACGTAGCTCTGGTCGATTCGGAAGATCCAGTCCATCTTGTCGCGTTCACTGCGAGCCGCAAAGAGCCACGTGTTGTCCGTCGCATAGATGGCGAACACGCCCGCCTGCAGCCGTTCGCTGAGTCTCTGCATCCCTCCGCTGGATCCTCCGCCGCCGCTACCCGTCCAGATGGTCGAGATGATCCGTCCGGATGAAGTGCGCCTATGGCTCGGCCGGAAGTCCTCGCCGCTACCGTGGGCGTCCTCTTGGCCGTTGGGGCTGCCTTGCAACAAGCCTACCACCCCTGGTTGGCTGTCGATCCGGGAGTTCCGGAGACTGACGATGCCCACTTCGTCGCCGTCTGCGGCCGAATGAATGTGCAGGTACGGCCTTCGAAGTTCGACAAAACGCTTGACCCAGCGCGTCGAGTTGCTGTTGGGCACCAGAAGATAACCTCCTTTAAGGACCTTGGGATTCTTCGGCACCTTGATGATCGTCGTCACGAGAGTTCGTGGCGCGGCCGACTCGCTTGTGACGCCATTCGCTGGCGGGTCCGTGTTCGTCGGGCTCAGGATGCGAAGCAGGGGGTCCGGATACCTGGTCCAAAGTTTGACGCACCGCTCCAGCAGTGTCTTCTCCTGGTCCGAGAAGCCAGAATCGTCTTCAGCCGGCTCGACTGGCGCAGGTGTATCCGTGCCGTCCACCTCTTGGACATCGTCCTCGATGTCTTCATCGTCGTCGACTGGTATTTGCGAGCTTTCAGGCGTATCATTGAGAAGGTCATCATCGTTCGGTCGAATCAGCTCGTCCGGGATCGAATCCACGAGAGAGACATTGTCGGCAGCCTGTTCACGCGGTTCTGGTAGGCCAATCTGGTTGAGAAGAAGCTGGACCGCCCCAATCTCCGTAATGCGACGTCTCTTCTTCCTCGCTATGATATAGTCACTCACAAGAGACACGCCACGCGGCGTCCAGGTCGTCAACTGTTCCTCTCCCTTGACGTAATCGTGCTGGCTGTTCATTCTCCAGAGATCCCCAGCCCGCTTGATCGGTGCTGGACGGACCGAAAGGGTGAAGATGCCAGTTGCGGAATGGACGATCCGGATGCTCTGCCAGAGGGACGACAATATTGATGTCTGACGCACGTATGATCGTGACATGATCTGGCAGCAGACGTTCAAGGAGAATCGCATTGGCTCCACAAACTTCTCCGACTTGATCTCCCAGGCCACTGTCATCTGCACGCGGTACTTCTCTGCTGTCACTCTGTCCAGAAGCAGAGAGTTGTGCAGACTGGAGTCCCATTGGCCTGTGAGTGTGATATCCCGCGTGCCATTTGCGTTGTTCCGGAAGACGGGCTTCGATGCAAGTTTCAGCGTAATGTCAGGGGATGGTGTTCCCATGTCGGGAGATTTCCCGGCTTGGTCGAGCAGCTGGATTTTACCCACTCTCACAGAGTTGGCATCATCCCAGGGCAGAGCATCTCCGGAGCTGTGCGTCAGATTGATCGTGATGCGTCGTTGCAAGCCCTGGTGAAGCTGAAACGTTCCACCATCCATCTCGCTGGTCTGTATGACCTCTACTGGGACATACTGGCCTTCTTCGTTGAGTTCAAGGAGCTGGATGCGTGCCAGAAGATCATGCTTTTCCTCGGTGTAGAATTGGGACTCGGCGATCCTAGCTCCCTTGGGTTTGCCCTGGGCAACAGGCACGGCATCGCGCATGTCATCCCAGCTGAGTAGTTTGTCGAGATGCATCGCCGAGACTTTCGCAAACACTGCTGCCCTGAGCGTAATTGTTGGTGGGCTGAACAGTGGGATCGTCATGCTGTGGACGCTCTCGAAGCGGATCGGCCCTTCGTCAAAATCCTTGATCATCTGCGTCGTCGTTACTCCGTCCTCTTCAGACACACCAGGGATGAACAGCTGCGCATGCACCTCGGTGCCCTCGCGTTCAGCAAAACCGACCATTTCGTGCATAACCACGTTGAACTTGAGGGTATTCGTGGGGGCTCGAGCATGCGACGGCTCCAGCGAGAGTCTGATAATGCCGATGGCATGGGATGTGTGAGGAGAAAGTACATCCAATGCAAAGTCCTGCACTCGGCTCTCGAAGACCGCCCGCAGCGGCACATCAACTTCTCCGACAAGTGTGTACTGCGGCATACAATTCTCGACGAACGGGTTGTCCAGGCTGAGATGCTGAGCGTATTCGGGTTGATCCAGATACTGATGCATCTGACGCATTTGTCGTACCCGATCATGCAGCTTCTCCACGCTCCACAAATGGACGACGCTGTTCTTATAATCGATGACCCGCACCCCGATACAGGGCTTTGGTGCTTGCTCAAGGGCAATATCGTCACCCTCACCCGTGAGCCCGTTCAGGACCATGTCGTAAGACGAGCAGAGCGAGTGGCCTACATCCACAACAGTGAATTGAAATACGACATGCTCGTCAAGCTCATTGCTCATGATTTGCGCTTCCTTGAGCGTTGACGCGTGCTGGAGGACGGCCTCGGCCATCCGCACATGTCTCTTGCTCTTCCAGTGGTGGATCACTTCAGCAGCGAGCTTGAGCTCTTCCTCCGAGAGCTTTGGGCTTGCCTTTTTTCGTTTCAGGGGATCCATCTTCTCGAGCTTGTCCTCAAATTGCCGGCGCTGAACCTCGAGTTGCTTCTGCATGTCTGCTTTGAGGGTCTTCAGCGTCTCTTCCATTCGCACTTTCTCTTTCTTTATCTCCTCAACTTCGACGTTTGAAGCTTCGGCCGTCTTGAGCTGGTCCTGGTACTCTTCTCTCTGCTTCTCCAGCTGAGACTGCATCTCTTCCCGGGCTTCCCTTAGCTGGTCATCAACTGCGCCTTGCTTGGGCGTTGATGGCATCGTGAGCGCAGTGTCCAGGGAGAAATTGTCGATCGTGCCCGCTGATAGGTATTTTTCCCGAATAGGATATGATGTGACGGATTCCGAGTCTTCGTCTCCATCGCGCACATTGACACGCTCAGCTCTGGCTTTCTGGACATCCTCAAAGAGCGTATTCAGCTCCTCGTCGGTCAACGTCGTCAAGTTTTGGTTGGTGCCCAAGATGGCCTCGGCTGCCTCTCTGCGGGCAAAACTCCAATCAGAGTCTCGTCCATTGCGCGAGAAAGGTAATGGAGACTCCGGCCGACTGTCTCCAAAGTCAGAACCCGCCATACTAATGTTCCTGGTGTGACCTGGTCGAGGGCTCGCCGTGGGCGTGGGTGAAGTTCGGTCAAGGTTTTGAAGTGTGCTGGTCGCAACAGACTGGCGTAAGAGGCTCTTATCGGCCCGCTCGGCCTTAGTCTCCATCGGGTTGTTGAATCTGAAGATGTGGAAATCGCCCAAGATCACGCGGTAGCCAGAATGAAGCTTTTTAGGCTCGTCGATACGCTTGCCATTAACCATGACTGAAGCGCCCTCCCTGGGCACCACGGTAACAGTCCCGTCAGCGGCATTGTCGAACGCGCAGTGGTCATGAAGGATCCGTGTGCCATTAAGTCGGATATTGGCCTGGTTATCCGCATTGGTGTCCATGTTGCCGACCGTCGTGGTGCCGGGTTTGAGGTTGTACACCAAACACTCGGCCAGTAGCGGATCGTCGGACAAGTTCACCAAATGGGGCATTTTCTTTGGCGTGGAAAGACCAATGAACCCCTTTTCGATGCTGATGCCGAGTTCCTCGAGGGCAGCCTCACGCTCCTTGTGGACCTCTTCGGTCTTGGCCAGCTTCTGCTCCCAGGTCTGGTTCAGGTCTGTCAATAACTTTTCGCTCTGGTTCAGCTGCTCGGCAATCTCTGCTTTCGACACCTTCTTGACCGCACCGTCACTAGACGTGATTGAAACAAATTGCTTCTCCAAGGGTGTGCCTTCGGGGTAGACTTCTTCTGCGGTTACCGATGAGCCAACGGCGGCTGTGCCGCTGCTTCCTCCTCCAAGTTGACCTCGGAGCAGCGCGAGCTCCTCTTTGAGCTCTCGGATCATTCTTGCATTTGCATCCTCGTTGACCACCGCGTGGTTCTTGATCCGCTTGGCGGAATCCGCATAGCGTAGCGTACTGAGTGTTTCGTCGTAATTGATGTCTGCTGGACTGATGGCAGCAATCATGGCCGTCATACTGTTGCCACCCAGTGAGTCTTTGAGCAGCCAGGTCAACACACTGTCTCTGTACGGCACTGAGGAGCCGGTGCCTTTCTTCTTCTTTCCGGTCGAGAGATCTGCCAGCGCAGAGATGACACGGCCCAGGGATGAGAGAGACCTGTTGATCTCGGCACCCTCCTTGAGACGCGCACCCGTTGCGCCCGTTGAAGTCGCTCTTTCAGAACCAGCCAGATCCACAAGACTGATCTTGGCCACTTTTTCCATCTCCATCTTTGTTTCCACGTCCAACTTTTTCTGTGTCAGCATCAGGGTGAAAACCGCGTGGCTTCGACTGGAAGTTTCGTTCATGTTGGTCGCGGCGACTGTTCGCGCCTTGTTTCCTTCGTCCATGAGGTGTTCAATCTCCTGAAAGCTGCCCACGACAAGCTTGGCCAGATCTTCGACGTAGGGTCCGGTCGACGGATGTTCTCGGACCTTGAGGTTTCCTTTGTTCGCTGGGTTGAGCAGATCGCGGACCCGTTCGTTGTAGATCTCAAGATAGGACACCTCGACGGTGCACTTGAGCGTCTTGTCCTCCTGTAGCTGCGATATCCTCCTGAACATATCTTGGCAAATATTTGGGATGATACCGATTTCTTTACCGTAGCCCATCATGGAATAAGACTTTCCGGATCCCGTCTGGCCGTACGCAAAGATACAGTTGTTGTAGCCTTGGAACGCATTGTCCAGAAGCGGCTGGCCCAGGTCGTCGAATAGGCTGTCCTGTCCCGCATAGTGCTTGTCTTTTTTCTCAAATGACCAGTAGGACTTGTCGAACGCAAACACTTTTGGGCCTGCATCTTTCCCAGACGTATGCGGTGAGCTCAGCACCGTCTGGTTATCTCTCATTTCGACGATACATTTCGAGCCGCGATCCACCTCTGGTCTCGTTAGCCGTCTCACTTGCAAGAGCGTTCGCGGCGTCGCTCGGAAGCTCGGGTGTTCTGTGCTCACCTCTGCCGTTGAAAGGCCGCACTCTCACCACCACCTTGATATTGCCACCTCCGGCTGGCGGCATGTTGACGACTGGTGTTGCGGGACCAGGCAGGCCCGCTCTCGCACACCGAATTCGATAGGTGCGTTGCTGCTGGACGAACTGCCGAGAAAGTCTTGAAGGGTCCTCAGCGTATTTCGAGCACCATTCAGCGTCCTGGTGCTGACATTCTCCGGCGGGGACCGAACGGCGAGGGGCGAGGCGTCTCCAGGTTGTTGGGGACCCCCTAACCCAGGGCACAAGCCAACTATTTCCTTACGAGTTGCGCAGGAGTGAAGAAGCGGGCATATATTCTGTCGCCAGAGTCGGACGGCGTTGGTGGCGCGTAGGATATGTTGCCGGTGTCTCGGAGCTTGTCTCCTCGTGATCTTGGATAGGCTGTTCGTTTTGTTTGGTGGGTGCCGCAGTCAACAATACTTGTCAACAATCGAGATTGAACGCGTGCCAGGGGGATATTGGCTTGCCTCCAAGCTACAGGACGTGCAGCCAGTTGGGGGAAAGCTGGGGGTAGTTCACGTGCCAATTTTGTGGGATTGGGCTAATGAGAGACGGGCAAGCGGGGGTGACGTCTGCTGACTCATCGCGGTGCTGTGAGACGGACCGCTGTAGGTGGGTTGGTGTAGGTAGTAGCTCAGGTAAGGTAGGTAGGCAAGTAGGTAACTAGGTAGGTACTTTATGTGTGGTGGCACGTACCACGCAGGGTCCTACCTGCTGGCCTTGGTGCCGTCTTGCCGTAGACCGATGGCAAGCGTTTATTTTGCTGCGGGAGACCGCCAATAGCTGCTGCCGTGAGCCTCAAGCCAGGCCCTTCATCCAATCCACCTGAGGTACCTACCCTAACAGGACAAATAAAACGACACTTGACCTATCTTACCCCTCAACACCATCTTCTCACAGCCAATGTGGCGACCTTTCATCTCACAGGGTTTCTCTGCTGTCAGAACCGCCGCAACCCTCTTTCCAGCTTTCCGAAGCCACAACTACGCCACCATGGCCAAACGCGATCCCGCTACCCTTTCCAACTACAATGAGTGGATCACCAAGCACACCACTGCCAATCTTTCCATTGATTTCAAAGAGAAGATCCTCAAGGGCAAGGTCTGCCTCGAGCTCGAGTCCTTGACAGACAGACTGAGCAAGGAAATCATTCTCGATTCAAGCTTTGTCAAGGTCTCTGGTGTCAAGGTCAACCAGGCGACCTCTCAATGGGATCTCAAGGATCGGTCCGAGCCCTTCGGCTCTCCTCTTCACGTTTCGGTGCCTGAAGGTGCCGCTAGGGGTGACGTCGTTAGGGTGGAAATCGACCTCGAGACGACGAGCAAATGCACTGCCGTCCAGTTCCTGACGCCGGCGCAGACGTCGAACAAGAAGCACCCCTACATGTTCACGCAGTGCCAGGCCATCCATGCGCGGTCCCTCTTCCCGTGCCAGGACACTCCTGACGTCAAGTCGACCTACACGTTCAAGATCCAGTCATCTCTTGCTGTCATTGCTAGTGGCGTCAAGGTGGAGGGGCGGTGAGGCAAAGAACGGAGACGAGACCATCTATCATTTCGAGCAGACGTCCCCATGCCTCCTATCTCTTCGCTCTCGCTCTGCGACATGGCTACGACTTCCATCGACCCGTAGGTTGTAGCTCTGCCGAGGAGCTCGAGCATGCGTAGAGCTGATGCGTAGAGCACTTTATCGAAGTGTGAGAGCTCGTGTCGCCGTACGAGTGGAAGGAGTTCAACGTTCTCATCCTTCCCCAGCTCATTCCCCTATGGTGGCAGTAAGCCGATACCCTTTCCACTCCCCCATTCCTCTCACCTCGATGTTCAAACAACTGACGCAACTGGTTTTTAGTGGAAAACCCCGTGTTCACTTACGCCACCCCGACACTGATCAGCGGTGACCGCCAGAATGTGGACGTCATTGCTCACGGTATGGCCATTGGCCTTCTCTCGTTTTATTGGAACTGTACTGACGTTCCCAGAACTCTCGCATTCCTGGAGCGGTAACCTCGTTTCCTGCTCTGACTGGCAACACTTCTGGCTCAACGAGGGCTGGACCATCTACCTCGAGAGGCGCATCGGCATGGCCATTCACGGCGACGCTGAGAGAGACTTTTCCGCCATCATCGGCTGGAAGGCTCTCGAAGATGCGGTTGATCTGTTTGGGCACGACCACGAGTTTACAAAGCTGGTGATTGAGCAAAAGGGCATCGATCCCGATGACGCCTTCAGCACTGTCCCCTACGAGAAGGGCTTCCACTTCCTTTACTACCTCGAGAAGCTCGTTGGTCGAGAGAGCTTTGACAAATTTATTCCCCATTACTTCACCAAATGGGCCAGAAAGTCACTTGATTCCTTCGAGTTCAAGGCCACCTTCCTCGACTTCTTCAACGGGTTGGGCGATGAGTCTATCAAGAACAAGGTGGCCTCCATCGACTGGGATGCTTGGTTCTACAAGCCTGGTCTTCCTCCCAAACCTGAATTCGACACATCTCGTGTGGATGTCTGCTACAAACTTGCGGACAACTGGAAGAGCGAGGTAAATACTTCCATAAATACCCCCAATCAAGCCAGCGAGGGCAGACGCTAACGAGGAACAGGACTTCGAGCCCAGCCCCAAGGATGTCGAAGGCCTTACCGGCAACCAGAAACTGGTTTTCCTGGAGGCGGTGGAAAAGTTCGATCGGCCATTGACGCCCGAAAAGTCCCAAGCCATGGGCAAGGCGTATGCACTTGCTACATCGCAGAATGCCGAGCTCAAGAGTGCGTACTACAAGATTGCGCTCCAAGCGAAGGACACCACTGCTTATCAAGGCGTGACCGAGCTGCTCGGCGTCGTGGGAAGGATGAAGTACGTGCGGCCACTTTATAGGGCGCTGAACAAGGTCGATCGTGATCTCGCATTGAAGACGTTCGAGAAGAACCGTGACTTCTACCACCCTATCTGCAAGGGCATGGTTGAGAAGGACCTGGGGCTCGCTTGAAGCAAGTAGGTTTGCGGTTAATGACGGATCTAGATCTTATAACACACAACATTGCAAGCTAAGAAAAGACCCCGCGCAGTGACTATTGGGGCTTGTGTTCACGATGCAGGATGGCTCATCTATGTGTACCATGACCGTGGTGCTCTAATGTTTCTTTGCCGCGATGAGAATGCCGCAGTTAGGTCGCAGGCTGAAACTCTACATGTACGCTTGGCTTGGGCGTCTTGATACTGAACGATAGATAGGCGCGGCATGGCATTTTCGGTGCTGCCACGAACCCGTCAGTATTTCAGCACTCATTACTACAGGCCGTTTCTGCCACCGCCCTGGTACATGAGAGTCCGTTTATCTCAACGGCGGATTCTTTAGCAGATCTGGGGCAGCAGCGGATGAGACCGGCCAGACAGTACCCACGCGAGCTGTGGCGAGGCGGCGGTATGTGCCAACTGGATCTTCTTTATTGTATGAGTCTGGGAGACGACATGCAAAGGGGGGAAAGAGATCGAGATAATCACACTTGATACTCATTCGTCAGCTTGACTGAACTGCCATGCTGCTCTCTAAGACAATGTTTATGATGGTACATTCATCGAAAGACAACTTCAAGGGGAGTTTGTACCCAGACAAAATTTACCATCACCCATACGGCACTTACCTGGCTGACTCTGGGGAAACCGAGGATGTCCAACTACCATATATCGAGAAAAGTATCTCTGCAAGTCGGCCTGTAGAGGTATGTATCATGGAACTACACAGGCCGTCGAATGACGGTCCTGGTCACCCCTAGTCTCACGATGAGCCATTTGATGCTTCGCATGGATCGAGCATGGCCACAGGAACACGAGGCCAATTGCTTTGATGCCTCTGACCATGCTTAAATGGCCGATCAAAGTAACTGGTTCGATGATCAATACCATTATTGGTCTCCCCAAGTCCATTCTCAAGGGGACAGGTTACACGGAATCCTTTTAATGTTGCCACCTGCTTGCGAGATGCCGTTGCCGCAAGGGCAAAAAGCCCAGCCCCATCGAGGAAATGGTGCTCACAGCACGTAACATCTCCCATCTGTCGCCAGAGTCAAGCCATGTATCGTAGCCCGACCAAGAGTGCCACCTAACCCAGCCTTGCGCTCACATGTGAAACTTCCTGAATCGCGGTCGCCGGACTGACTCAGAGATGAGGCGATGAGCGGGTATCGTGGCCCTCAACACCATGGCACTTACAACTCTGCTGATGATAAAACTTTCCTGGGTATGGCGTGTCAATCTCAATACCCTGGGCATGCCGGATGATTCCGTTCAGGTGCGAGCCAACGCGTTTGTGAGTTCTTTCTTTTACTACAGCATCCGCTGTCGACCGGCCTTGTCAAAATAGTAGGGGAATACGAGGCTCAAATGAGAGAGCCCCGCCTTCCGCGATTTATCGAAAAGAAACATCCCGTCTTCCTTGCAAAAGCTGACACGATACCCTCGTCAACTTGTCATCGTCGCGTTGTACATTGAAGCAGCAGGGCATGCCCGTGCCCGCTTCCAATGCTTCTGGAACTTCCCTTCGAGGTTCAGACACATCATGTCTGCTCCATCTTCCAGTCGGGTTGGCACCAGACAGCAATCTCGCGTGTTACGAAAGTTGTAAGATGACTGCATCTCCAGATCCCTGGCGGGAAACGACCACGCTTCCAGAAAGCTTCCCCCCCGCGCCGGAGATGCGCCTCCAAGCCCACTGTTCCCATTGCATCTCAATACCCGTCCAATAATCATCATATCATCTCCGTGACGAGATGGAATCTGCTCCCATCATCATCATCACATGCGACACCAAACGTCGTGAGCGACTCAGACGAGCCATTCCTCATCCAGTTGATAGCCTTCCGTAAATAGCCGGATACATGTACACTCCTGAGACGCCCGGTCGACCCTGAGTGGTCAATCCTGAGAAACTCGAGCCGACCATATCGAGCGATGAGCAGCTGAACCCGCGAATGTGGCTGTGTCGTCCCCAGTTCGCGTTTCCTTCCCCACACCTTCAAGTTCCCCTTTGAGAAGTCAGACAATCTGCATCCACGGAGCACCGCACGCTTCGAGTATGGCCGCCTCGCGATCTGGCCCGTCTTGGTGCTCCTTCAACTACCCATATGCCCCATCATGGCCTGATGTTTCAACCATCCCGGCTCTATCACCACGGCGCGGCAGGTTTACCCACTCCTGTGAGGAACAGAGGCCGAAAAAAAAGGGTTGAAGGGGTCGTCATGGGTCCTGAGGCCCGAAGTGGCTGCGCTAGCACAGCACCAAAAAGGGCCTTTAGGCATGTCGAGAGAAGTCATCAGGCCAAAAATTGGCGCTGCACGACGTCGGGACAAACAATGGCCCTATCATCTATCATGCCTGCTTCGCGGAGGATTATCCGTGCTTTCCACGTTTTTTCCCCTTCGTTTCCTCCGCGGCAAGACGCAGCGGTCCCCTCGCGCAACTGACCCTGATACATGCGTAGGATCGTGAAGAACAGCGCTTGTACCTGCGGGTCCGCCGCGCCGCGCACATCAGCACTGAGCTCTGACCGAAGTCCATCTGAAAACCCATGGGCAGGCTCTGAGTCGGGTTTTCAGCTGCACCATTTCTGGCTAAACAGGACCCTGGGTGGTGATACTTGGCGGTGCCTTGCGTCGTCTCCCCCGCATCGACAACACATGAGGGTGTAGCAAATCGTCCGAACTCCATGCCCCTGGTGTTTGGCCAGATCGCGCCGCGGTACCGCGCAATCCGCCAGTCTGACCATCCCGCCCCAGCCACGGCGGCTGTTGCGCTTTCGATGCTCTGAGCTCTCCTGATAAGCCAAGATGGCTGCGGACGGCGCGCGATGAAGTGTAGGTCTGTAACGGAGCAAGGCGGCGTCAGGCAGTGCGGAAGGGTGTGGCGCGGCCTTATTTTCGGTTCCGGCCAGTCACGATTGTGATGGGACTTTGGTGCAGTAGGAAAGCAGCCTCAGCATCACCACTGGCGTTGAGAACCTGCAGCTGGATATGTACCTCGGACATGATGAACCACGAGATGATAGCCAGACAGCTGCAGTACCGACGCCATGAGGCTGCTGCATGTTTCAATCTTGCACTCGTGAGGTATGTTGGCGGACATCGGAGAGAGCCTAAAGTGAAAGATATTCCGAAGACACTGCACCTCCTGTCAAATCCGGAAGTCTCTTCGTGGACTGTAACAACTCATTGACTCTGGATCCGAGATCAGAGGCCTCGATAGCAATTGTGCTGTATCACAGCCCGCCGCTCACAGCTTTCCCAAACGTCAGGTTGCTCCAGAGACACAGGTGCAAAGCTGCATGGGAGCTCTGCCAGCTCCCCATGCCCATCCATCTCAAGCTTGCGCTTGGGTAGCTACTCCACAGACTGGAAGCCGGAAATGAAGCTAACGCAGGCCCCTGTCTAGTACCGGCCGAGCGTCATCGACGGTGCTGGTCTATAGACCCAGGCAATATAGCTCAAGCGTCACGACGAACGTGCGCAATGTCCAGTTTGAACTGCTCCGCGCTGCCGCTGTCGTTCGTGAACGCGACCCCCGAAGCCCCAATTATGCCCAAAGGCAGCAGATAATGGATTGAGAAGACAAGCGCAGGCATACGTGCTGCACAGGCTGGGCTGGTCACCAAAGGTGACTGCGTTTCTGTACTTTGGCCAAAACTGGTGCTGTCTCCTGAAACGGTGTCCTGGACATGTCCAGTACGGCCAACAACAGTCCTGTCCGACCTAAAGTTCCGCGAGCGCTGCTAATAGCTCTAACACTTGGCCGACCAAGCAAGAGATGTCTTTGATACCACACAAACGTCCCTGCGCCTGCGGGATGCGAAGTAGGAGCACATTCGTTGTCAAGCCGCTCAATCGCTCTCACGTTCGTGCACGGGAGCTCTCCCGCATGTACCACACCCCTAGCGTTACATCGCTACAGAGGGCGTCAACAGCGGTGAGAACAGAAAGCTCGCAAACATTAACAACCATGCACCTCATCACACAATTTGCCAGACCCCGCGGCTGCCGCGAACGAGGTACGCCATCGGACAGTAGCCGCGATCCGGCCAACATGCTCTTCGGAGTTCAGTCTCCCGTCTCAGCGTCTGTGTGAAACCTCACCTCGATTTATTACCAAGGCAAGATATGAATCAACCCTGGATGCTAAGTTTGCTTGATGCAGTGCTGGTACCAAGAAGAAAATGGTTTGCGCTAGAAGCGGAGGACAGATGAAACGGGTGGACAGGGTTTTCTCAACAGCCCCCAATCACCTCACATGTTGATTATCGGCATGGGTTGTAAATTTGCGAATTCGTGCCAAGGACTATATAGCACAAGAATGCTGAGCAGAACAGATTCTTCTATATGCCAGATTGCCTGCGAACAGGTGGAAACTACACAAAAGATGGGATGGGAAAATTCCCGAGTATCAGGGGCTCGGGCAGTCCTTGGGGCTTCGGTTAAGGAGTGTGTTTCACTTGACTGGTACTTGGCAGCTTGTTGTGAAAGATACTCATTGGCTGTAAAAAGTGTTCATCGTTTGGAGAGCTGTCCCGGAGTTGCCTTCATGGCCTCTCGTCCTTGCCTAATCGGAATCAGAAATGATGAGAAAACAAATGTCCGAAGCCATTGAGACTTCAATTGACATCAAATGAGACGGTGCTCCTTGCGGGGTCGTGCTTCTGGTCCCACGACTTGTGAGAAAAGATTGTCTCCCTGTAAGTAACCATCACACTTGCTGTCGGTGGTTGCCATAATGCAACCTCGTGAGGCATCATCCCGTGATAGCCCTTGCTGTCGAGGCTGACGGTCGAGCTATCGTCGTTGCTGGTAAAAAGTCCATGATGGTGGCCGTTAACTCTTTGAAATAGCTTGATATAGGGGATGAAACCTGGCATTTGAGACATCGTGATGGGCCAGCACGGTCTCAGATTCACCTCCTGAATGAGGTGCAGGAACATCTCACGCAAACGAAGCCCAGGACAAGGGGATGAACCGGAGACGTAGCCGGACCTTGTCGGCCAACCAGGCCTCCTGGCCAATCGCAGTTTTGGGAGCTCTACACCGTTGCCATTCGGAATCCATGGATCCCCCTGGTCACGACGCGGGGGATAAGATCTTGTTCGTCGCCCATCACTGATTGCTGCAACGTTTCGAAACGTCATTCCAGGCGCCTCGCGTCTTGTCCGATCTGGCCGGCGACGTTTCTGTCCTCGCAGACGCCGGCCAACGAAACTTTTGTTGAAATTGATTTGTTGGTCGGCTTCGTCGGATACCCCAACATGACATGATCCTCCGCATGCTTCAATGGCACAGCAGGATTGGCGACCCTGCTGTTGGTTGGCTCTAAATCGGCGCGATGATTCCAAGCAGTCGTGCGCATTGACCTCGAGGTCTAATTGCAGGTCTGTGAGGAGACAGGGCCTTTGTGAGCGGACACTGTTTGCGACTTCGTTATCTGCTTCGACGACTCTGGTTCGCTGGCACCCTGGACCGATGTTAGTAAAATGACGAGCGTCATCCGGACCCCGAACCCATGGGCAGATAGTAATGACTCCTGATTACTCCTACCGACCTCAAAAGCTGCTGTCCGTTGTAGGGAACACCTTGTGAGAATTGATCGTAGATGGTATGGATATTTCGGCGTGCATGCCGAACTTAGTCGAAACGGAACCACCCCACTCCATCTAGGTGCTCCCCGAGCGCGAGCAAGCTGGCCATCCGGCGGGTCTGTCGACCTGGGATGGTCGGCGGTGTTACTCAGTGAGATAGAGGGCAACGAGTCCAGATGCACAAGTTGGGCAAATTGCTGGGAGCTGTGACAGCTCGTAGATATGGGTGTTCCGATGATTAAAAGGGGTAATGCTTGATGTTTTAACGTTGGTATTGACTTTCACAGTGACAGAAGTCTAATTCACCAACCTCGGTCCAGGGTCCAGAGACTCGCGTCCATACAAGATCGCTAGCAATGTTGCGCCTCACCCTCATGTTGGTGGATCCGATCGAAGGTCAAGGAGATTGCGAGCTGACTGTGAGCTGGTCGCCATCATCGTCAGGGTTGCATTCCCGGTGCCCTACAGTAGTGCGAACGGTTAGCCTCGAGTCAAGAGAGAATCTCCCGCCCGAGTAACTAAGACCGGCTCCGAGACCGGGCGGCGACCAGTGGAGTTCTACAGGAAGTTGCGAGTCGTGGCACCAATCGCGAGCTTATGAATTTCCATCTTTGCAGTAACAATCGCATTCGTGGGCTCAAGACCACCATCGCATCGAGACGCCCTGAAGATCGGACAAGTGTTCCAGGATCATACACAGGCCTCTCCTCGCTTCACTTGTCACCTCTGCCACAGGTGTTCATGCAAATCTTCCTAGGCCTTGGGACTGTAGAGAGTCGCCAGGCGTTTTGAAGTTAGAGTGGGAGGCGAGGTCGTCCTGGCTTCCAGGACATACCTGGTCTGCTGAGAAGATCATTCATGCCTTGACAAACAGCAAAGGCCGACTAGTTGCGCTTCCACTCTGCTGGCGTATTTTCGAGCCCAATTCCAATGGCCGTGACCTATGGCCTCTAACGCAATCTGGTCGGCCGATCTAGCACGGTGCAGCTCCTTGAATCGAGGTGGTCAGGCGGTCTGCTCTGTATGAGGCTTGTGGAGATGGTTGTTTTAGCAAGGCGGGCGGTTACCGGCGAGCGTCAGCCGAAACGGGAACCGGACGAGAACTAGCGGCGAGCACAGATCCAGTGAGCTAGCGTATACCAAAGAAGAAGAAGCATGCATGCCCAATTGAACAGGATAGCACGGCAAGCATAATGTCTTGGATGACACCAGAGACGAGCCGAGAGTTGGACCGTTGATCCCGGGAGTAGAGGAGGCGCAGAGCGACATGCCGGCTTGGGGTCAGAGCGGAACAAGGCTGCTCGACGTTGACAGACGAACAACGCGGGTTTCGTGCGTCGAGTTGCTGGCGGACGGGTTGGGAAAGCAACGCGGGGCAGAGATCGCCATGGAGCGACCAGGAGGGTGGGTGCAGGGGCCTCGTTTGGCACGCTGATCGCCGGCAGTGGTAGAGGGGGGCGGCGTGGTTGAGTCTTGCAGTGAAAGTGAAGTGTGAGTGAACGAAGGGGGATTGTGTGTGTGTGTGTGTGTGTGTGTGTGCGTGTGTGTGTGACTGGCGAATGGTTGTTGCAGTGCGTCCCTGATCATTAGGTCCATTGCGAGGCTCGGGCGCGGTGGGTGCCGTGACGGCGGGGATCCTCGAAAACGGATCCATCTATCTCGAGACGTGCGCTGCTCGAGCTGCCGTCGACAGGACCGGAGCATCACGACAGAGGTTGTTGCATCTGTTGGCCAAGCGCAACTGGGGTGATGGCAGCTTGGCACACATGTTGGGTTGCTGCGGAGGTGATGATGATAGACCGGGAGTTGTGCCTTGACACGGCCGTGACAGGCGGGAGGAAGTGGCTGCGTCAGACAAGCCCGGTGCTCCTGCTCCTCCTGCTGCTCCTGTTGCTGCTTGATCGTTCACACGCAAACATGGGTTCAGTCAGAACCGTTCGGACTGATTATCTGGATAAGGAAAGGACAAGCCTCCTCTGCGTGAGCCAGTAGCCGCATGAACCCTTTCTCATTTACCAAGCACAAGCACAAGCGCACATGGGTGAGAGGGGGGGGGGGCTAGATGGGCTAGATGGGCTAGATGGGGTCCGCGAGGTTACTTCACGATGCCTGCCTACCTACCTTTCCTAGCGGGAGCAGTACCCCTAGCTGGGCACCCGAGCACCAAGATCCCGATACCCTGTCTAGACCACCTGCCAGACCCCTGTCTTGTTCCTGGTACCCCGGTCTCGCCAGAGCGGGTGGGGAATGCGCTTGGTCCTTCCAGGGCTTAAGCGGTTTCATATCCGGGCTTCCATGCGGCAGCAGCACCCAGAACCCCCCAGTAGCTAAGTCCCCTGCACTTGCCTTGCCCCTCCCCACCACCGCTCACCAGCAACGTGCCTGCCTGGCAAGCCTGGCACATCACCTCCATCACCATCGAGACCTGTCTGAGCTCTGGAGTGAGGTCGACTCGAGTCAATCTCGGTGCAGACACCTCGTCTCAGAAATCCAACCCGCTTTTGTTTCCGCGCCTTCTGTTTCTTCTCGCTAGGTCCCCGGCTCCTGCCTCCTGCCCGTCCTCGTTCTCTACGCCCCTGTCCCATGTCACTTGCCTCCCTACCCTGCCCCCTAATCCGCCAAGCCGAGTCCCTCTTGCTGAAGCCCCGTCTTTTTCGTCTTCCCTGTCAAGAGAACGACTCACATATTAGCCTCTGCATGTCGCCCATCATCACCTATCCGCCACCTTGGCTCTCCGATGCTCAATGTCGTACTCTGCGCTCCGGTGCACTTAATAACCTTTTCCTTCTTTTGCTCTCCACCTCTTCCGCCGTATCCTGGCCCTGTTTGCATGAGACATATATAGCCTCAGCCGTCCGTTTCTCCTAATAGTGCGGCAACATATTCGTCCTTCACGCCAGTCCCGTCAGTCTAGCTGGTAACTGGGTCCAACATCCTGGATCAAGCTGCCTGCCGACCATCTACCTCTTACACGGGCACACACGACGAACTCGACACCCCTGGCCTCCTCTCTCTCAGTACCTCGCCATGGCACACATTGCTACCTGTATGGTCGAGGCTGACCTCGACAGGGCTGCCGGACCTGGAAACGGACACCTGATCACCGGCCTTATAACCAAACCTCCTTCTCCCACACCCTCTAGTGACTCGGTATGTCGCCCCGTCGATGCCCTCCACGCCCATTGATGCGACCGGATTACTTACGCAATCTTCACGCATACAGTCCTCAACCTCATCTCAGGCTTCCGAGCAGAAGCCCCACGTCTGGAGAATGCAGCAGACCCAGCAGCAGCAGCCCGATGTCCGGAAGTACCAGCTCTTCCCCAAGGGCAGGCCGCAGCCGGCCCCGGTGACTAAGGCCCTCGACCCCGAACAGGCCAGAGCCTACGCACTTGGGCAAGCCGCACTATCAGAGAAAGACAAGGAGAAGACGAGCGGCGGCGGTCTTCGTGTCCGCATCAAGGAGCACAACCTCATCCGCAGGCGCAAAGTGAGCGTTCCCGAACTGGGCCCCATGACCACCGTGCAAGAAGTTGCCATGGACTCTCGTAAGCACCGCACCATATTTTTGCTTTGAGCAACCGACTAAACTTTCTAGCTACCATTCCCGGCAGGCCGCCGCTGCATGAAAGGTCCATCAGTGCACCGGGCAACAGTTGGAGGCGGCTCCACGTGCTGAAGCCGTCGCTTGTGTTCAGACTCTCTGACGAAATGCTGACTAGAATTTTCGCCTACTACCGAACCCATTGTCCTACCAACGATCAGCATCAGAGGCCCCGAGACAGCCCATGTCGCCGAAAAAACCTCGCGCCTCTCGTTATCCCCCCTCCTCACACCGGCATGTTTTCTGGGCTGACGCGCCAATTGTCACTGAGCCGCCTCCGCTCGGGAAATACGCCGTCCCGACTCGGTGCAGCGTTCGGCTCGCACTGACGACTCGCCTCTGTCCCGAACGCCCTACACCCCCTTGACAGCATCCACCTCGCTGACAACACCAATGTCCTCCACAACGACGCATTCTGCCGTTGCGCTGCCCACTCCTGTGTCAGCGCCCCTCCACGATGTGCGAGCATCGCCCAAACCGTCGGAAGTCGGAGCTTTTACTGGATCGAGCAGCTTCAACACCACCCCCAAGAAAGAAATCGAATCCCGAGCTGTGCCTATGGGACATCGCAGAGGGCAATCAGAAACGGGCAGCATTATGGAACGGGGTCGCCCTCGAAAACGAACCGATCGTAAGGATGGTTCAGTATCCGCTCAGCGGGCTGAATCGGCACGAACTCGTAGCACCGACCAAAAGGCGTTCGAAGAGCTGCCCTCTGGGTGCAAAGCCAGCGAGGCCGCGAATCAGATGAACCAGATAGAGCTTCTGGCTCTTCAGAAGCAGGCCTTTGGCCAAGCCTCTCGATTCGAGGTTCTCAGAAAAGAAGATGTCGAGTCATTGTCAAGGGTATGACCGCCAAGCCACCCACCCCTGAAGGATGATCCTTGCTAACATCGTTTCAGGAGCTCCGACAACTTGATGAGAGGACTGAATACCTGCGCCGCACTTACCATTCGCTGAGGGCCGGTCGCCGCAATCTCCATTCACGGATCTGTCAGTACCTGCGCTCCCCTCGCGTAGCCCGATTCAGCACCGATTCCATGCTTAAGCAGGAAGAGGCTCTCGGCGAGCTTGATGCTTCCATCGACGACTGGGTCAACAAGCTGGAACACGCCGAAAACCGCCGTGCTCGCGTGCGCCAGAAGCTCCTGGAACATGTGGCTGCCGCTGCCATCCTTCCCAACATGGGTTGCAACCCCGGCGAGTGACATTCTTCAGCAAGCCCTGGGTTGCCCTCCTGTGTACCCGGTTGGCGTGTGCAACATCTCGAC